TATGCTATAACTATAAGTATGTACAGGCTGTAGTGAGTACAAGCTATGTACAGGCTATGAACAGGATATAAATATGAAAAACTATACAGAATATGAGATGTACAGCTATACATAAATGTGAACTATGCAAGTAATAAACAGTTGTAGAATTAAAAATTATTGTATTTTACAGAATGATTATTTATACAGAATTATACAGTAGTGCAGTTAAGATAAGTGAGATATGTGGATAATTTCTACAGAGGCTATATAAAGTGCTAGTGGTTGAGATTGGTGGTTCAGACCATGTTATTATTGTGTCCGATACAGTTGTCCGTTGTGTGTGTGTGTGTGTGTGTGTGTGTGTGTGTGTGTGTGTGTGTGTGTGTGTGTGTGTGTGTGTGTGTGTGTGTCCAGTCCATGTGTTTAATGTGGGTCAGATGTCAGGAGGCAGAGTTCAGGAGTCTGGCAGCTGTGGGGAAGAAGCTGTTCCGGTACCTGGTGGTCTTAGTCCGGAGGCTCCTGTAGCGCCTCCCAGAAGGCAGGAGGGTGAAGAGTCCATGTGCTGGGTGACTGGGGTCTTTGATGATTTAACAGTGTTTCCTGAAAACCTTCTCTTTAAAGCCATAAAGCCTTTGAATGAAAAAAAAACGCTGTTGTGACAGTGATGTACAGTCTTGTGGTATTATTTCTATACATTTTACGTCAGATAAAAACTTTGGTTGTAAGCTTCAGATAATTATTTAATAAAAGCGAGACATTTTAAATGAGAATAAGAAAGTATTTCCTTGTGCCCACCTCTCCCTGTTAATTCCCTACCTGGCCCCTGGCAAAACTTTGCTAGATCCGCACCCGCACCTGCACAGTTACCAGCTGTCAGCGTAACTATTGGGCAGAGAGGTCAGTTTCATGATGATTCATATGCAAATTGTCATGACCATCGATCAGTGGTTATTGATCAATGACCATGAGTACCGTTCACAGAGAGTTGAGGAATGGCTGCAGTCACAGGATTGTAAGATGGTGAAAGATGTACCCTTAGGTCAGCTCCTCGATTCAGAGATGGTCTTTCCCAGTTCACATAAATGACAACAACAGTAGCAGACCCTGATCACAAGATGGCAGTAATTTATACTGGATTTAGTATAGGCTAGATGCATGCACCCGAGTGACACTGTTGTCTAAGATCAAAGGAGAGAGATCACTTTACTTTGGTATTTTTTCATTTGTCTATTTTTAGTTTCAACAAGATGAGCATTGCTTACCTTGCTTATCCTGCCAGAAGGCCACTGCTCCTATCTTGGTTGTTGTTGTATTTGTATTGTTCATGTTATATCAACCATAGTTTCTTTGTTTGATAAATCCCATCTAGTCCAAAAGTATACGTCAGGTGCAACTTTTTCCAGTCTGCATGCTGGTATAGCTTTGAATATCTTATAATCTACATTGCAAACACACTTACTCTCATGGTCCGGAGCAGAGATGGGCAGTAATGCATTACTGTAATCTGATTACTTTTTTCAGGTAACGAGTAAAGTAAGGGATTACTATTGCAAAAACGGTATTCAGATTACCGTTACTTTCCCGTAGGAACGCTGCGTTACTAAAACCGTGATTTTTTATTTTTTTTTGTGAGAATGTCTCATGACGGTGATGTAAGCGAGTGCGACGTTTGTGACAACAGCAGTGTGCATATCAACAATGGATTATATATCGAGTGCGGGAGAGAGTATGAGCGTGCAGCGTTTAAAATAGAGATGGCACGATACCACTTTTTTATGTCCGATACCGATACCGATATCATAAATTTGGATATCTGTCGATACCGATATGAATCCGATATAGTGTTTTTTAATCAACAAAACTGTTTTTTAAATATCTTGCTGCATTTTGTATAAGTTCATACTCAAGTTTAAAACAACAACTACACTAAAGCTATTCTGTTATACCTGTATGCAAAAAAAATATTTCATAGTTCAGCAATACTGATCAATCTAATAAACTTAAACCTACACCATCCTCCCTATTCTGGTATTTTAAAGAGTACTTATGGTAAATATTAAGCAACCTAACTAACAGGGTTCCAACTCCCAGCAACAACAAAAATAAATAAATAAAAAATAGGGAACCACCCCTCACGCTCCACCTCATGATGCTTAATCGACGTAATCAACCTTAATTTGATGCAGTGTGAAAAAAAATGCACAGAAATCAATTATTTTTCAAGAAATATTAAATAGATTCAACATCTTTCTTCAACAAAATTGCAGACTGCACAGATGGTACCTTCCCAAAGGAAAAAGTACTATAGCTTACTAGGGTATTTATATTAGACTTAATAGTCACTATATACAGTAATTGACTTCTATTCATTTTACATCAAATTAAAACTTTGGGTGTCAGATAATTATTTATTAAAAGCTCGACATTTTAAATGAGAATAAGAAAGAAAAGTATGTCTTTGCCCCCTTTTCCCTGTTAATGCCCTATCGGCCTCCCTGGCTAAACTTTGCTAGATCCGCCCCTGCACAGTTACCAGCCGTCAGCTACGTAGAAAAGGATCCTGGTGTAGAAAGTAATATTAAATAAATTCTAACAACAGATTATCAAGCTTAAACATGCTGCTGTTGTTCAACCGCTGGTTTCCTCTTTCTGGTGCAAAGTGGGCCAAAAACAAACAAGAGAGACGGACTCACGACAGAAAAGCCGATCAGCTGATCATTAAGCAGTTTCATGATTTCATGATAGCAGCAGGAGAGGGAGGGGGAGAGAAGAGGCAGTCGCTCCATATATCGTTTGTTAAGCTTAACGCAGGAATGCTTTACAAACATTCAGAGATGGACTTACACACTTGCTTTACTTCTCTCGGAGATAACTTTGTCGGAGATGAATTGCCGGTTGCTAGCGAAGCTCCACATGCTATCCAGACCACCGACAGGTCCCGCATGCCACAGCCGCTGTATCACGTGATGCATACTGCTCCGACGTGCTAACATTCTGAGGTGAGTTACAGCGTGTTGCAAGTTTTGTGAGGTGCTTTCGTGATATTTAATGGATCGGATTACATTTTTTATTTTTCTCCGATATCCGATCCAGTAATTTAGGTCAGTATCGGACCGATACCGATACATAAATATCGGATCAGTCCATCTCTAGTTTAAAATGTTGAAGTACTGACCTTATTTTGAGTTTGATTCCATAAAAAGTGACAAAAACATTAGTGTCCCGTTGTGCGTGGGAAGAAAACTTCTTTTTACAGCGAAAAAAAACCCCTAAACTTCCAAGCAAGAACCGAGTGCGCTACCACGTAATGGGAAACTCACAGAGAAACTCGCGGATTCTTAAACTGACCACTGCGGCAAACCTGCACCAGGGCAAACCTCCGCCTACGCCACTGCTGCTTTACAGGTGAAAAAAGAGCAACAGGACCGCTAGTCTTTGATGTTATTTATTTTCTGCTGTGTTTTACTTGCATGTATTTGAAAGAGTGAGTGTAAACACACACACACACAAAAAATATTTTATGTGCTGGAATGTGCAGAAAATAGGTTTAAATATTAAACAAATTTCTTCCAGTCAGAGAATGTTGCATATAATGAAATTTTTGCTTGATGCATAAAGTTAAAAGGTTAAAACTAATAAAACAAGTTTTAAAAAGAGACTTTCCATTTGATTACATTTTGTATGATGGATTATGTAGAAAAAGTAGAATTGGGCTGAAAGATCTATCGCTTTATCACCTACTCAGGTTGTAAATCGTGTTTTTAAAAAGTAACTAAGTAATTAATTACTTTTGAAAATAAGTAATCAGTAAAGTAACAGGATTACTTTTTTGGGGAAGTAATCAGTAATTAGTTACTGATTACGTTTTTCAAGTAACTTGACCAACACTGGTCCTGAGTCTGCTGGCTCAGTGTTTTGTGTTTCTTTATGCTTTTGTTTATTCTGAGTATGTATTCTGTTATGATTTGCCATTTGTTAGGTTTCTGTTCTGTGCCTGCCCTGGCCCCACTTCTGTGTTCTGTCTGTCTATGGTGTCACTCTGTCTGTTTAGTTCACTGCCTTGTCTGGTTCTCTGTGTCTGAGTTTCCTGTTTTATTCTGAAGGTCCCCGTCTCATGTGAGTGTGTTCTGTTTTCGAAGCTTTTCAACACAGTCCTCTCTGGTGACATCTGGTGGCCAAAAATATGAAGAGCAGCTTGAATCCACAAAATAAAACCAACTGCTTCATTAAGATTGCTCACTCTACAGAGTGGAATTCTGTCTGATATTGGGCCACCGTTGTGTTGCTTTAAATGTGTATTTTTTGGGATGACAAAAATGTTATTTATTTCTTTAATAAATAATTTTGACCAGTAAACTTTCCTTGTTTAAACATGCATCATGGTGTGGTCTTTCTTTGCTTGTGACGTCTTGATGTTGGTAAATACAATCATTGAAAAATACCACGTTACATATAATAATATACAACACATTATGGAGTATGCTTCTGCTGTGAGGTCCCGCCTCCATGTACTTATGCAGTTAATCGCTAGATGGTTATTTTTATAAATAATATTACATTAGGGAAATTTCCCTATAATTTTAATAAATTTCCCTTTTTTGACACGCACCGGAGTGTCAGCTTCAAGCGGGCCATCACTATTATTTAGTTTTCCCAGTTTAGGTTTCTTTAGTCATTTGTCATTCCTCACTGCCTCTTCCATCACCCTATTACTTGTAAATAAACGTCACTTGCATTATCAGTTAACTGCCTGCATTTTGGGTCCTTTTCCCTCCAACACAACACGGCCTCGCCTCGACAGCCGTGACACTGTCACCTGACCTCAAACAATAAAACAGAATACTGAAGTTTGTCTTATTCAACTTTCCTAAATTAGAAAGGAATGATATCTTTTATGCAGTCTGACTGCTATTTTTTTTCTTAGAGATGTAGTGATGCTACACTGTCAGCAAGCTGACCCAGTCTATGTAAGAAATCCCACATTATATTAATCTCCCTAATTCTTTTGTGTCTCCAAGGACTGCAGCAGGGAAGGACCGTGATGGTGGAATGGATTTCTCCAAGTCAAACGAAGAGGCATACAGAACCTGCCACAAAGGTCAGATATATGTGTATATATATATATATATATATATATATATATATATATATATATATATATTACCGTACACCCTGCCCTATATGAGACAACTGTTGTTGTCATTTGACACCATATTAATAAATTTAAAGGGAAAGGGAAAATATCTCATTAACCTTTCACTTACCTTTTATTTATTGTCACTAAGCTCCATGGCAGCTTAAAATGAGGCTAAAAAAGTGGTATAATAATTGGTCTGTTGTCCATGGCCAGTCATTTAACTGTTTATTATTAGGCCAGTTTATGTGGCTGGTAACTACTGTAGAATGAAAGTCCATGTCTTAGTCCAGCCTCATATTGCTAATTATAGATCAGTTTGTAGTTGTACTTGGTAAGTATGTCTGTTGCTGGACTCCGCCACAGGTGGGATCCAATGTATGAAGATGAAACAAAAAGTCCCAAAACATTATCTATACTTATGTCCAAATATATGTACATAATGACTGCACAATTGCTTGGTATCTGTACTTGTACCTGATTTTTGACTTTGAATATTTAAGCATGGCCATGGATGTTAGTGGCAGCAATGTTGTTGTTGTTTTTTTTTTTTTAAACCACCTCTGTCATTAAGGACATCTGTTATCATGATGGGATGCTTTCCTCTGTGGATTCTTTATTCACTTGAAAGCTTTTACTGCCTTCATCGCCAGCCGACACATTGTTTCAACCTCCACAACCTTTACTGTTTCAGATGGACACAAACATACTAAAAGATACACATTCAGGTGGGAGAATGAAGCCACTAAAGTTTTAAACTCATCTGCTCATCTTGTTTGCATGAAATTGGTAGTTTGGAAACGGTTTTCAGTGACTTGCTGTACTCAATCTCTGTTTGGCCTGATGGTACCTTGATGCCAACCAAGGAGGAAAAAATTATTGTAAAAAAATTGTTAATTTACAGTTTGTCCTACTCTTATTAGCGTCAGCTGTATTTAGTCCGCACCTCTTAGAAATAAATAGAATAGATCCGTCACTGTTACAAGAACAACAAAACACAGTATGGCATCTCTTCATTAGCTGCGTGTAGATTTTTACATTAAAAATCCTTTAAAATAAACAAACCAAAAAAAGTTATATATATATAAAATAAATAAAATATAAGAAGCAATGTCATCAGTGGTAGTACACATTGAGTAAGAGGTAGGAATGTTGCAAAACTGTAAACGCTGGCAGCAAAACGTGAACACAACTTCAACACAGCTGTCATCTTTACACACAGCAACTCACAATTGAAAACACGTTTCTAATGGTGTGTTCAACCCCTTTGAACGAAACTGCAAGAGTTAAAGATCTACAATATCAGTATGTGCAAGTGTAACCTACACATACTTTCAGCAGCGACTCTTTGAGTACAATTCTATGTCCATAGGCCTACTGTTTGTATTCTAGATTGTTACAGATGGTACTCTTGCAGTACTGTAGACTATACTGTAATGCACATATATCTGGAGTGCATATACTGTAAACACACTATTTCACAAGTCTCTTTCTGCATCACTTACACACACTTATTTTTATAGAGAGTGTATTACATAGAAAATCTATGGATTACATAGAAAAGCCCCATGAATATATTTTCCATAGATGAAGTAGGGTTCAATCTGGCAAAAAGGAGGTGGAGAGGCAGGAACATAACTGGTCAATGTCCCTGGCCAAATCCCTCACCAACGTACTGGCAATTGTACCCTTTGTGCATTTTACACACCGGCCTGGGGGCGCTGGAGTGCAACACAAGAAAAATAATAAAAAGAAGTAAATCACACAGCGACAGTTTTACAATGACTAGTCGTTTTATTAACTTGACAGGTAGCGAGCGTCAGGGCGGGCATGGCCAAAACAACAAACAAAACACACTGGAAATGAATCAGAACTAACTTACCTATAGTGAATCAACCCCAAAAGAAAATACAAACCTCTAACCCAGGGGTGCCCAATCCCGGTCCTCAAGAGCTACCGTCCTGCAGCTTTTAGATGCATCCTTGTTCCCACACACCTGAATCAAATGAATGGCTTGTTATGAGGCCTTTGCCAAACATGATGGCATGCTGAAGAGATCAAACCATTTGATTCAGCTGTGTTGGAGTAGGGATGCATCTAAAAGCTGCAGGATAGTAGCTCTCGAGGACCGGGATTGGGCACCCCTGCTCTAACCTGTCTCCCTACCCGAAACAGGAGAAAAAGGTTGTAAAAGAAACGGCTTCCCACCCCTACAGCTACCATGTCCAGATACGACTCTCTAAACTGTTTTTACTGCAGCCCAGCTCTGTCACACGCCACGAAGGGCCCCAAACTCACTGGAAACAGGAAGTAGTAGGAGGGGCTGGCGGCCCAGTCAGGTCCCAATTTGTAGCTGGCCTCATTCCCTCTTCCACCAATGGTCAGCCTCCACCTGGAAACTTACATAACAGACATCACAGAGTACAAACAATGCCCCCCGCATGGTGTGGCAAGTAACAGCACCACACGGCAACAATGACCTGGGTCATAACATGCAGCTATAGGTAACTGGGGTGGGAAGCATATTGCATTACAAGCATGTTGATTGTGATGTGGATGAGGTGCTCTGGCAGACTGAAAGAGAAGAGAGGATGCAGCAAAGTTGTTTTTTTTTTTGTTTTTTTTTTACTGTAACTCTATGCAGTAGGTTCCTCTGTTGTATATGCAGACCACGGTATGCAGTGATGGGAGTACAAATAACGAGTACAAGTAAGTTACAAGTAATGCCGTTACTTTTTTCACTAACGGGTAATCTAACTAATTACTATTCCTATCGTTACAACGCCGTTACAGTTACTAACAAGAAAATGCGGTCCATTACTAATTTTTAAACAAACAGACGGTTGAAGCTGTGTTCAACTTACCGCATCTTATATCGGTTGTACGGAAGTAGCTGACTACGTAAGTAATCTGGACTCTACAGCTTTAAGCAGCTGCGCACGCTCCCAAGGACGGTAATCATGATCACTGTCTAGCACAACACCTGGAGCTCAGGGGGCAAAACTGAGCTCCAGGTGTTGTGCTAGACAGTGCTGGCATGAGTGCTTCGGCTCGACATCAGTAGCATCAAAGAACTTATGCACACAGGGACTATTCGGCACATCATATGGACATCTACCAAAGAGCAGCTCGCTAACTGCCTGACAAAAGTGGGGATATTAGCACTTGGACTGCTAAGAGCCCTGAGAGAAGGGGAATGGCAGCTAGAAAGCTGAAAGGACTAATGACAAAAAATAAAAAATTAACACTCATAAAAATGTTTCTTTTAAACACTAGTTTGGAATGTTAAATTATGTTTATGTTATATTGTTCAAAAAGAAAAAAAAATAAATTGTTCTAATCTGTTTTCCTTTCCTTAAAAGAAAAAGGGAAGATGTTAAGATGTATCTGTCCCACTGCGCAAGTGTCCGGTGAAGGGGGGCATGGCTACACGCAGGCGGGAAGGGGAAGTAGGAGTTTTTGGAGTGTCAGTTTTTTCTTGTGTGAAGGAACGAAAGAAGGCAACCATTAAAGTTGGAGTTAACATACCAGTTGTGTGATTATTGGACTAACACGTTTACTGTCTAGGACAGCGCAGCGAGCACTCTCTGCTTATGAGTAAAAAAAAACAAAACAGGGGAAGTTTTAGGAGTGACGGAGGGAGAGAGCAGAAAAAGAAGGAGAGCAAGTTTTGCGATGTGAGAGATTTGTGACGTTTAGCGTGTTTGAGTGTGTAGTTAATGTGTTGTCTTGTGTAGTTAGTGTGTAGTGTTGTGAATAGTTTTGTGTTGTGTGTCAGAACAATGAGGCGAATGCTGTCTCCAGGTAGAAACAGGAGTGATACACCTGCTGCTTTCAGACCTGCAGGTATCAGGCTGTGATGTCTCCTTTATAGTGGACAGAAATAAATTTTTTGGAGTGGCGCAAATAATTTGTGTGGCATCTTATTGAAGAACAGCTGATTGTTCTGTAAATAGTTTGAAATGGTTATTTAAAAAATCAAGGTAAAAGGTAAATGGATGCAAATAACTTTGTTGTTTGCAAAACTTGTGCATAGGATTTTAAAATTGACAATTTATATTTGCATTTTAAGTTATGAAATATGATTCATTAAACATGTTTGTGGTTGTTACAGTAAAAAATATAACCTTTTCCACTCTGATTTTATGTTTTTTGTCTGATTTTTGATCAATTGCGTTAATACAGTATATCAAAATGAAAACATGACTGTAAATTCAGACACGTGAGGTTGTGCTGAAAAGGATGATACCAAACAAGGCAAAGGAAATAGTTTTTAAAGGTGAAATGTGGAGGAAACATCAAAAGTAGTTAAAAATGGCCAATTATACCCTGGACCCCAGAGGGTTAAACGTTTTCTTCAAAGTAACGCAATAGTTACTTTTTAAGTAATTAATTACTTTTCAAGTAATTAATTACTTTTAGAATCTTGTAACTCAGTTACTAACTCAGTTACTTTTTTTGAAGAAGTAACTAGTAACTAGAATTAATTACTTTTCAAAGTAACTTGGCCAACACTGATGGTATGCGCAACTTTGTTTTGGTTGGGATGAACACTGTACATTGTTTTTGTGGGAGAATACAGTAAAAATATATTTGGTACCATGTATTTGTGAGTTTTGTATACAAACATTCTGTAATCTTTTACAATGCACTCATGTAGGCCTATGTACTGTCTGTAGTAAGTGTTACACTGAACATAAAAAGGCTTACAGTAAGTCAATATGATGACTTTATTTTGCAGGTGAATTGAAGGGTTTTGCCCATTGTGTGTGTGTTTTTTGATTTGTGTTGAATTCTGACAATATGCTTTTGGAAAATGTGTGTAAACAATTAGGAAAAACTGTAATGCTCATGATTATGCAAAGGGGAAACCCAAGTGAACAATAAAATTATGCATGAAATTATAAGTCAGGCTCACGTAACCAGCATACTAACGAGTGGCCAATGCTAACATAGAAGATGTGGGTACAGGTGAGATCTATGTAAATGACATATTCCAAGACATAGCAGGTCTGTTGCATTTGAAGCAGTTTACTCCTCACATGTGGAGTGATAAAATTCCAAATGACACATTTCCAGTTAAATGTCCTCCACCGCATGTTTTTAGTAGCCACACAAAAGCCTACCAAACTCTTTCTCATCAGTCATACGTCCCTGGTGTGAACCCATCGTCCTTGGAAATCCCCCTTATTAATGTTTGAGCATTAATATTTAAGTTGTTTAGCAAGAGAATATAGTGACACAGGGTCTAGTTTACTCCTGAGTGAGGTGTTCAGATTCCCCTCCCCGACTATAGTTGGAATTTTATCCATCCATCCATTCGCTTCCGCTTATCCTTTTCAGGGTCAGAGGGGGCGCTGGAGCCTATCCCAGCTGTCATAGAGTGAGAGGCGGGGTACCATCCTGGACAGGTCGCCAGCCTGTCGTGGGGCCAACACACAGAGGCTGACAACCATTTGTGCTCGCATTTACTCCCACATTCACACCTGTGGGCAATTTGGATTAATCAATTAACTTATCTAAGTATATTTAGGGCTTTGGAGCGTGATGTCACGGGGGTGGGCGTGGAAAGGATTTTGGCCTGATGTGCCATTTTCCGGGTCCAAAGTGCAAGCGAAAAAAGAGCGAAGGCACACACAACAGCCATGGTTCGTATTTGCTGTATTGGCTGCACAGTTCGATCGCACGACCGGCAAGAGAATAAGCTTGAAAATGGTTTATCTTTTCACTCTTTCCCAACCTGGAAGCAACATGAGGCAGCTCGTGTATCGATGTTACCAAACGAAGGCGTCTAGTCTGGATAGCAGCTGTGAGACGAGTTGATATCCAGTTCTCTTCTATCTCCAAATATCTGGTGGTGTGCTCCAGACATTTTCATTCCGGTAAGTTCTAACTATGTTCATATCACTCTTTATAGCCTATTAGTTTTATTTTCAATGCACTCTGAGGTCACAGCAAATTAGAACAAACATCCTAATGAGTGATTTTGCAGAACTACCCTCTATTTATAGAGTTGCTAATTATTTGCCATTATTGCAGCAAACCAGCCTATGACAAGGATGACATTGTGACTGGGTTCCAGCGCTACACAAGGGACCTGCTTCAAACATACCACCATGCCAATCAGATTACTTCTTCATGTGAGGGTGAAGAGGTGACCCTCCTGGATAAGATGGTGAAGGTTTGCTGCGTTTGGTGAACAGTGTGGTAGTAAAACCAGGGGAAAATGAAACTTGCTCCTGTTAAATATTCTTAAGTCTTTTGCTGTATAAATAGTGGTATTTTTTCAAAAGATACAGTAAATAAAGTGCTGGTAGTGGGTGACATCATGTAAACACTGTCATGATTTTGTGTAAACATTTTGTCATTTGTAAACTATAAATGACATGGATTCTACACTGTTACTGATGTGATGTTCTATAAAGTGGTTTTAATTTTTTTTTAAAAAAAGAGGCAAAAATTAGTTTGTTTCTTTATTCCACTTTTGAACAGTGGTACTCAGTCGGGACATATTTGGTAAATGCAAATTATTTACACGGCAGTGCACTTCAGGCATAAATCTAGACCCCTAGATAAAACATTATTGGTCATTCCCACGACCCACAGCTTTACCGTGTTCCAGCAAAGTATCCAGTAGCAGTGACAACTCCTCCACAGTAGCAGGTGGGATTTTTCTGTTTTGAGGACGGCTTCTTTTACCTTTCAATATGGATGGTCTGTTTATGTTTTGATCAAGAGCCTTTTTTGGGCAGCTGAAGAGGAGAAGTATTATGGCCAACCTCTGGTCATATTACCCAGCAAAACCCAGTATGCATGTTCATCTGTAACAGTCCTTGTGCCACGGATCCGCACTGTTGCTTCTACATTAAACAGAAGAACAGTGACGTGGGTGCAGGTCTCCGCGACTCCGGCCATACAGCTGCAGTGGGCGGCTTCAACCTTCCCTGTGGTGCTCACAGTGACCCATGACTGCAATGCTGGTTCATTCAGTCTTTGAAAGTTGTCATGTATTTAATATATATTCTTAATGCTTATTTGCTGGTTATATTGTTTTATGTATAGGCCTTTATAAACCAGGCCCAGAGGTGACAAAGAACTAGGTCGCAGGCTGACAGGAAACTGCATGCTTTTGCAGAGCATATGAGGTGCAGACAGAAAGTGAAACTAAGCAGAGTGTTTGATTGAAACTTAAAGTGTGCGTGACGTCTAGAGAAAGTATATAACAATCAAGCTGGCTGCTGCTGCTTTAGACTTGAGCTGGTGTCTCTGTGTGCTCAGTCTCCTTTTCCGGAAATGTAAAATAAAGATAATTTTTTGAGTTAGACCACTTTGAGCCATGAGTTTTTCTTCGCCGCCAAAAGTGGGAGTGCAGGACCTGAAACACACGCAAAGTTCATTTAAAGACAAGAACTATGAGCCAAGGCCGACACAAATGTGTTTTATCTACTTTATCATAACTGTAACAAAGTGTTTAGAAAGTTAGCACATACATGTAATTTTTCATTTCTTTATGTGTCCATCTATAGAACGCTGCATGTTATAGTGTAAATATGCCTGTTATCTCTCAGAAACCTGCCTGCAGAAAATGAACCTAAAGTATGTAATGCAAGGATGTAATCACTTTCAAGATGGAGAAAGCATAAAGTGACAATTATGAATCACTTAATATGATAAGGAGATTCTGCAGGTCATTAATCAATGTATAAAACTAAAATAAAATGTATTTTTGTGACACAGGATACAAACATGGAAGCAAGATGTATAATTAGAATTATTTATAATAAATATGAATAAATCATTGCCATTTCTTTAACCATAAAGAAAAATTAAATCCTCCAGGACAATGTTACATCAATGCACAGAACTCACTATGTTATCCATCTAACAGAGCCTCCACATGTTCTCACTGTAATTTCCCCCTCATGAGTGAATTTATGCTGCTCTAATGTGAATGTTCGGGGGAAAATCAAATGCATTTCACTCGCAGTACTCAAGCTGACTTACCTTTGTTTGAATGACGACTTGTACACGCTGACTCCACAGACAAGGTACGAAATATGTCAGGCTATGCCAATAGCGGTTGGTCTTCAGGGTTTCTACTCCATGGCCGTATTTCATACTGGTCCACATTTTCTGCAAGTACTGCCGCTTCACCTCTGGATGCAATTGGTCTCTATATAGTTGATTCTCTTTTGAGCTGCTTTTAAGTATCTTTCTTGTATTCGTCATTCCAACACAGTGTGTTTGTTTTGATTGTGGACCCGGAAAATGGCGCCGCGCTCCCACAATGCATTGCGGCGTCAACTCCAAAGGCCTATAGTTCCAAGAAGATGGAGAAAATGCCAGGTCAGCTGAGGAGATATATGGTCTCCTCAGCTGAACTGGAAAAAATGTTCATGCATTTGTGTCATCGCGTTTATTGTAATGCCCTGTTTACCAGCTTGGACAAATCATCTCTCTCGCCTCCAAGCCATACAAAATGCACCGGCAAGGCTACTAACATGTTCTAGCAATCAGAGATGTTTTTTCATTCATATAGCACTATTGTAATCATACTGACCACTATAAACTTCAGGCACTTTATCTACCTCTAATTCATAGTAGATTTAAAATCACAAGTTAACCCAATAGGCATGGCTTTGAATAGTGAAAAGAAGCCAAAGCACCTGGAGCTAACCCAGTTTTCATCATGACCTTACAGGAGGAATATCCAGTCAGAGGAAAGATCTTGCTCTCGTCCAGTGATCTCCAGCTGGTGCTACAAGTGGAACATAATCAGTAAGTTCTCATGTCAGCCTAATCTCTCATATATCCTTCTGTGCCTCTGATGTTATTGGTACACAGTGCTATCTGGTTGACTGCTGTCCATTTGTTGTCTAGCTGTTTTATTTATTTATTTTTTTGCTTGCCTTTGGTTTATTATCTGAATAATTAGACGGCTAAGATTTAATGGGCCTGTTAGTGGTCTTTTGCTCTGATGACTCTAGATCTTGGTAAACACAAATGAATTCTACTCCAGAGGTCCAGCAATATCAGCTGTCACCAGTGCCTCTAGTTACCTTTACTTCTGGTTGCTCAGGTGTCTTTGACTTAGCCAGAAAGAAGTCAACCTGGAGCCAGCTAGGGTTACCTTTTCTGTGCTCAACACACACTGCCTCACCAGCACTCATTTTTCCTTGTGACTTGCCGTCACTCCATCACACCCTCTGTCAGTCTGGTGCTGATGCACACTAAAATCAAATCAAATCAATTTATTTATATAGCACTTTTCACAGGATAAAAACCACAAAGTGCTTCACAGTAATATAAAACAGAAATACATAAAATACATTAATAATAAAACACACAGCACAAATCTAATTAAAAGTAGTCTTAATACCAAATAATAACTAGAAAAGGTTGCATTTCCTGTGAAAATGCAGTGTGAATGCTGTGTATAAATATTTTTATTTATCAAAAGTACTACAAAATAGCAGAAATACTATTATTTAGCAGAAATACTATAACATAGCAGAAGTACTATGATTTGTCACAAATACTACCATTTAGCACAAATACTATAATTTAAAACAAATACAGTGGAACCCCGACTTAAAAAATTAATTTGTTCCAGAGGGTCTTTTGTAAGTCAAAATTTTCGTAAGTCGAAGCACCTTTTTCCATCGCCTTTTGCGTGAGATGATGCTGGCTGAAGATGAGGTTCTTGGTGGAGGAGGAGTGGCAGTTTTCTATTTTGTAACGTGGACATTTTGCCATACCACGGGCAGAAATTTCCTACCCTCAAACAAATGTAAGTCATGGCCAAACGGTAATAGGTAAGAAAAAAATTGTTGACTCATGAGCGTCAGGAGTGTCTGAAGATATATTGACACAAGCCTCATGTCTTAACTTCGTTTCGTTAAGGAGACATGACAATTAGAAAATGTGTCTCATTGGAGAATTCCAGCGCTGATTTTGAACAAAGTGTCCATTGAGTTTCTATGGAGAGTTTTCAGACTTTGTGCTGCTCTGAGGAGATTTTCCAAAAATCTCTAACTCCCACAACAATGATAGTGACATTTTCTGAAAGCCATAGAAAATACCTATGTTTTGATGTGAAATTGGTGAGGGTACAGAAAAAAAACATGGCTCAGCCCAGTAAGCAAAGCTGGTGATCACACTGATAATGTTGTCCCATTCAGTAAAATGGGCCAAAAATGACATAAAAAGCTTAATATCTGAAAAAGTATAAAAGTTATGTGCACCAAAAGATATAGCACGCTTCACCTCTTTTTAGCACAATTTTCAGCCTCTTCTGCTCTTTTCAGCACAATTTTCAGGTTCTGTCTGTCTACTCTGTCTTCGCTGCACAGCTGCCTCTTCTCTCATTCTCTCCCTCTCTCTCGCCTGTTGCTACTAAAATCATGAAACTAATCAGTGATCAGCTGATCGGCTTTTCTCTCTTGTTTGTTTATCGCCCACTTTGCGCCAGAAAGAGGAAACCAGCGGATGTCGCGCTAAACAACAGCAGCACGTTTAAGCTTGATCAGCTGTTGTTAGAATTTATTTGATATTCATTTCTAGTATCAGCTGATGTTTGCTGGAGCCACAGCTGTAAAAGCTGTTGAACATTATGTCAGTTTGGATATCCTAGTGAGAGGGAAACGTGAAGATGAAACCAGGAGATGTCCTTACTGAATAATCAGAGCTGAACAGGTGATGGAGAAACAGGTTTACCTTTTAGGTGACATAAATGAGTTGAAGGGAAGTTATGAACTGTTTCTGAGAGACAAATAACACCAGGATCCTTTTTTAGGTAGCTGACAGCTGGTAACTGTGCAGGGGCGGGTCTAGCAAAATCTTTGCCAGGGGCCAGGTAGGGCATTTACAGGACAAGGGGGGCGCAAAGAAATAATTTTCTTTCTTATTCTCATTTAAAATATCTAGCTTTTATTAAATGATTATGTGGATCGGATCTTTCAACCAAAGTTTTTATAATAATGTACGAAATTGACTGTAGATCATTGTCAGTCAATCAGAACGCTGTGTAAAAATAACAAAAAACAAAAAGGTGCATGCAAAACATTTCTTTACTCCCAAGAAAATCAATCTGCTACACTGTTTACTTTAAACCACTCCAAATTTAAATGGTAAATTCTAAATTGTGTCTTGTCTTTATCCCCTGAGACTTAAGCATATATTTATTTTCTTACTTCTTTTATTTCTATTTATTAGTTTTTTGGCTGTGATGTACCTGCAGCCTCGTCCTCTCGTCTCTCTGTATGCTGCGCTGCATATAGGAGAGATCAAAATACAGTTTACTATGATTAGCGCCTTGACCTGAATTTTAAAAATATTTGGCAAAAAGCACTATGCTGCTAAAAAAGGAAAAATAAATATTTGCAAAATATCTGGATAAATATTTATTTTACGTGTTTGATGTGTGTGGCGGGGCGTGGTCTGCAGTGCTGCTGCAGGGGAGGCGGACCCACCTGAGCGGCATCTGCAATCACGCCCCTCCGGCTTAGAGACTCTCAGCTGTTGTGTTGGTGTGTCGGGCTGTGTGGGTCAATAAAGAAATGCTACAAAGCGTGTTCATGCAAACATCGCCATGTCTGCCGTGGTACAATGGGACTTCTGCTCCTGAACCTGTGCGCACAGCATCTGCAAATCGGGGCTGTACGAAGTCACTTCATCTTTACGCAAGACTGTAAGCTGTCATCTGTGAGGAGCGAGCGGTGTTTGTTTTTACCGTAGTTCATGGTGGAGAATAGCTGCTCTACTGTGTTTTGCTCCCTGTAGTCGTATGAATGGTAAACTGCACTCATTGGCAGCAGCATAGGCACATTTAAAATTTCTTCTGAAATTTTCGCTCTCTAGTTTTTTGTCACATTTCCAACCCACTTCCTTTATCCAGTCTTGTGACCGGCAAAAGTGACCCAAAATGGGCACTCTAGGTGTAGTTACTGTTTGTTTGTGTATTTTTAAGTCGTTTTAAACCTTGTGATCAACAAAAAGTAAGAGTAAAACAAGAACTGACTGCATTGCAGTCAGGGCAGGAGCAGGAGCTTCGCTCATGCGCGATTTATTTGCAGTTTGGACCTATAGGTGTGAGCATCTCCTGCTCTGACAGCAGCTCGGGTGGACTTCTGCGTGAGGACTATCTGCCACCTGTGAGCCCAACTGACAGTAAGAGCGATACTTGCTTCCACGTCAAAAAGTCGTCATAAGTCTCCTGATAAGACCAGAAAAAGTCGCCAGATTTGTCGCTAGTCGCTTTTTAGAAAAAAGTTACTAAGGGGGTTTGAAAACTCGCTAAATATAGCGACAAAGTCGCTAAGTTGTCAACACTGCGGCACTGTCTGCCGACTTGCAGTTTTAAGGCTCAGGGAAACGAGCCCGCCAGCACTCTCTAGCGGCTGCGACCACTGGCGATAAGGAAAGGCTGCTTTTCATAGAGGACTCGCTTGGGGAGATGTCTTCTGGTTGACGCCAGCTCCCAGAAGAGCCTCGGGAACTCTCGTGTGATCTTTGGATACCTTCAGAATGGATTATTATTTAATCTGAAAAATTCTGTTAGATTTCCCACTTACCACTACAGGGAGCCCAAGTACCACCAGTGGTACGTGTATCACAGTTTGAGAACCAATGATCTAGACATAAAATTAAAGTCTTGATAACTCTAAAATCTGAACACAGAAAATAATTGGCTAGGACCTGTAGATCTGCCTTAGCAGTGATTGAATGTAATGGATAAGTGGCTGGATATCTGGCTGCTTTACACATTACAATCAATAAATACAGAGAACCAGATTTTAAAGGGGGAAGAGGACCCATACAGTCTATTCTAGATGAGAGTACTCTTAAAAAAGGTGTTTGACTTCACTGAGAATGCTTGTCTAGCACAGCACAGAAAGTCTAAGATCAGGCAACAAAGGAGGTTTGAATTACAGGGTGGGCCATTTATATGAATACACCGTAATAACATGGGAATGGTTGGTGATATTAAAGTCCTGTTTGTGGCACATTAGTATATGTGAGGGGGCAAACTCGTCAAGATGGGTGGTGACCATGGTGGCCATTTAGAAGTCGGCCATCTTGGTTACAACTTTTGTTTTTTAAATAGGAAGAGGGCCATGTGACACATCAAACTTATTGGTAATGTCACAAGAAAAACAATGGTGTGCTTGGTTTCAACGTAACTTTATTTTTATGCACCCTTACAAACTCCAGCTACTGCAGCATCTTAACGAGGATGACCCAGATCGGTGCACAGAATTTGCAGAATGGGCAAAACAAAAATTGGAACAGGACCCTCAGTTCATGCAGAAGATTGTGTTCAGTGATGAGGCAAACTTTTATGTGAATGGTGAAGTTAACAAACAAAACCACCGCTATTGGTCTGACACTAACCCACATTGGATGGATCCCTCCAAGACTGTTGGAACAACAAAAGTGATGGTTTGGTGTGGTATATGGGGTACAACGATAGTGGGCCCATTCTTCATCAATGGAAACCTCAAGGCCACTGGATATTTGAAATTGCTACATGATGATGTGTTTCCCTCTTTGTGCACTGAAGCTTGCACGTTCCCTCAGTTTTTCCAGCAAGATGGTGCACCACCACATTATGGGTGCCAGGTCCGAGCATTCCTAGATGAACAGTTTCCTGGAAAGTCGATTGGTCGTCGTGGACCAGTTGAATGGCCCCCAAGGTCTCCAGATCTGACCCCCTTAGACTTTTATCTTTGGGGTAATCTGAAGGCAATTGTCTATGGTGTGAAGATACGAGATGTGTA